TCTTGGGTATAGAGCATACACACACGCACGTATAGTTCTCTTCGTCAGTCATGACGCTTGGGAAGAACAAACGCATCAGCAAGGGCGGCAAGCGCGGCAAGAAGAAGGCGCAGGAGACGATGAGCCGCAAGGAGTGGTACGATGTGGTTGCCCCCAAGAACTTTGAGGTGCGCCAGTTTGGCAAGACCATCTGCAACAAGACCCAGGGCACAAAGATCGCGGCGGACTACCTGCGCGGGCGCGTGTACGAAAGCAACCTTGCGGATCTGAACAAGACGCAAGGCGACGATGACGCCTACCGCAAGGTGAAGTTTGTTGTACAGGAGGTGCAGGGCCGCAACCTGCTTACGCAGTTCCACAGCATGGAAATGACGTCTGACCGCGTGTACTTTTTGCTGCGCAAGTGGTGCACGACGATCGAGGCGGCAGTGGAGGCGAAGACTGCGGACGGTTACACCCTGCGCCTCTTCGTGATCGCCTTCACGAAGAAGCAGAGCAACCAGCTGTCGAAGAACTGCTATGCCAAGACGCGCCTGGTGAAGTGGGTGCGCCACCGCATCACGAACCTCATCCGCCAGCGCCTGTCGAAGGTGAACATCAACGAGGCGGTGACGCTGCTGACACGCAACATCCTGCGCGACCGCCTGGCAAAGCGCTGCAACCCCATCGTGCCGCTGCGCGATCTCCGCATCCGCAAGGTGAAGGTGGTCCGCACGCCCCGGTTCGACGCCCAGGCGCTTCTGAATGCACACGGCGAGATTCCCGCCTCGGCTGAGGGTGAGGCGCGCGTCGTCGAGGAAGCCCAAGAGGCTCCCGCCGCTGAGGCCACAGCCTAAGCCTTCCATGTGGAGGAAGGATGGACTGTCATGGAACATCTCTCCAATTTGTTTGAAGGTAGCGTCATTTTTCCTTTCTTTCTTTTTTTTTTTTTTTTGTCATTTCCACATCATACACGCAAAAAAAAAAAAAAAAAAAAAAGGGAAGATTGAGTGGCTTGTGCTCCATGATTTCTTGTAATTTGTTGTTTATTTTGTTTACTTCTGCAGAATTATTTATCCGACTGCTTTTGCTTCTTTTCTCCCATTCATCTGGTCTTGGGTATAGAGCATACACACACGCACGTATAGTTCTCTTCGTCAGTCATGACGCTTGGGAAGAACAAACGCATCAGCAAGGGCGGCAAGCGCGGCAAGAAGAAGGCGCAGGAGACGATGAGCCGCAAGGAGTGGTACGATGTGGTTGCCCCCAAGAACTTTGAGGTGCGCCAGTTTGGCAAGACCATCTGCAACAAGACCCAGGGCACAAAGATCGCGGCGGACTACCTGCGCGGGCGCGTGTACGAAAGCAACCTTGCGGATCTGAACAAGACGCAAGGCGACGATGACGCCTACCGCAAGGTGAAGTTTGTTGTACAGGAGGTGCAGGGCCGCAACCTGCTTACGCAGTTCCACAGCATGGAAATGACGTCTGACCGCGTGTACTTTTTGCTGCGCAAGTGGTGCACGACGATCGAGGCGGCAGTGGAGGCGAAGACTGCGGACGGTTACACCCTGCGCCTCTTCGTGATCGCCTTCACGAAGAAGCAGAGCAACCAGCTGTCGAAGAACTGCTATGCCAAGACGCGCCTGGTGAAGTGGGTGCGCCACCGCATCACGAACCTCATCCGCCAGCGCCTGTCGAAGGTGAACATCAACGAGGCGGTGACGCTGCTGACACGCAACATCCTGCGCGACCGCCTGGCAAAGCGCTGCAACCCCATCGTGCCGCTGCGCGATCTCCGCATCCGCAAGGTGAAGGTGGTCCGCACGCCCCGGTTCGACGCCCAGGCGCTTCTGAATGCACACGGCGAGATTCCCGCCTCGGCTGAGGGTGAGGCGCGCGTCGTCGAGGAAGCCCAAGAAGCTCCCGCCGCTGAGGCCACAGCCTAAGCCTTCCATGTGGAGGAAGGATGTGTGATGTGAAAGCTCTTTGTTCTTTTTTCTTTCTATTTTGAAACGGTGATTCCGCATATATATATATATATATATATATATATATATATATATATATATATATATATATATATATATATATATATATATTAAGTGTAAAGAGCGGGCCCTCTTTGTCGGATTTAGAGGAGGTTGTTGCGTGGCATCCTCTTTTCATTGAATTTATTTGCTTCTTTACATTTATTATGCTTACATGTGTTTTTATATTTACTTCTGCTTTTGTTTCCTAATTGTTTGCGCGTTTCTATGGGCGTCTTGGTGGGCAGAAAGGAGGTGAGGGCCAAAAAAAAAAAAAAAAAAAGAAGAAGAAAAGGAACGATGGTGTTGATTGGTGGATTCACGGAGTGGGCGCATCTGCGGCTGCGTGACCATCGTCCGGGGCCGATGAGTTACATTCCGGTTCGGAATGACGTTCCGGAGAGATCCATTCTGAAGAAATACCCCGCGCGACCAGCAGAGGCGGCCGTAGGCCCTGGGGAATACCAAATACCATCAACTGTTGGTCAGTGCCGCTCAACCGTGTTCGGCCCAGCGTCTGGTCCAGAATCGGCTGCAGATGCCAAAGCAGGGAGCGAAAAGAGCAGCAAAGAAAATCTAAGGAAAAAAAAAGGACGCAAGCTATCCCCACTTCCGAAGCAGTACAGCCTCGCATTGTCACCCGATACACCAGCGTACTCCATCTACGGTAAACTTCGAGATCAGCCTTTGGGTAGTGGTGTGGGCCCTGGCGAGTACGCCATCTCCTCTTCCTTTGAGCCAAGCGACAAAGGGCCGCACTTTGGTGAGCGGACGAAGCTCTTGACGACTCGTGATATAGTTCCAGGACCTGGGGCATATCAGTTGCCTCGTTTTGGTGATGACACGTCAAAAAAAAAGGAATACATTACTTCTGTCCGAAGGGTTCCTGAAAGAGAAAATGGGCCTGGACCCGGGAGCTACGACGATCCCACCACAATCGCTGCCCGCCTCGCACCAAAAAAATTACGTCTATATGAAGGTCCACTTTTTGGCGGTCGCCATTCCAAGTCGAATTACTCCTTGTCCACTGGTCCTGGACCAGCCGAATACGGTGATGTGAGCCGAATCATGCGAAAGAATATACGATGTACACCTAAGTTTCATCCACCGGTACAGACTGTGCCACCCCACAAGACCGTACGAGGTACAATGGAATTATCACAGGGTCCATATACTTATTACCTGCCATCGGATTTTGACCGGGACTACAACAAAGGCGTTTCACTTGGGGCGCGTGTATTTTATCAACCCAAGACTGCGGCAAGTGATGCGGTTGGCCCTGGATTGTATGATCTGGGGAAGCCACCGATGACATCCAATGGGTTTCGCTTTGCAGCCCAGCCGTACGATGCAATCGCTCTTGCGGAAATGGAAGAGAAGGCAGCGGCGGCCGCATCGAATGCCGCTTCGGGGCCTAGTATGTATTATCCGAATTTGGACGCTGTGCGGCCCTCGAGATACCGGGCTGTGGCTGGTTTTGGCCTTGGCGAACGCTTTTTAGTTCAAAACGCCGGTGGTCCACTTTGTTATGATGTCAAGCCACCCGAAGCGACTCGTGTTACTGTCTTTTACCGTGGCGACTACAGACGCAGTAAGAAATTGCATGGATTGGGAGACGGTGGTCCTTCGTATGTTGTTGAGAATGACACCATCGCCGATAACACACGGAAGGGAAACGGCTTTACGTTTGGTATTCGATACCCCGCACGGGCCACGCATCAGGTGTGCAAGCCATACGATGCAACAACGAACATCAACTGTGAATACCCAGATGAGACGACGTGGATGACGAAACTGAAGTAAATGGGGGAAATGAGGGATGTTTTTGGCGGACGTCTGACCGTTCTGGATGTTGAGAATAATTTCGAAGGGGGCGAAGGAAACAACAAGAAGAAACACACACACCAACGGAAAGAGGGATGGATGGATGAGTCGAGTCAATCTTTGAAAAGAAACAAGAGCACACTAACAAAAGGAATCAAAGAGGAAAGAAGAAAGGAAAATTGAGGCGAAAAGAGCATTTTAAAGTGGGACCAAAAGAAGGATGTTCCAACATATATATATATATATATATACTTTGAAATGTATTCTTTGCACACTTGAAAATTATCGCTACTGTTGAAGGCATATTTGAGAATGTGTTTTATCTTTTTGTGTGCATTATTCCTCTCTTGTTGTTGCTATTGTTCTCTCTATTGTCCTTTTGGTACCCATCTTAGTTTTCCTTTATGCGTGTGATTTATTGAAATGGACTGACGTAACATTTACATGTCTAGCAGGACATAAATTTCAATGTACATGTTTCATATATTTGTTATTTGATACTTTTTTGTTTTTTTTCTTTTTAACAGAAACATATATATATATATATATATATATATATATATATCCACACACAATGACAGACTGTCTCTCTTTCACCGTGTGTATATACATTTTGTTTTTGTTGTTGTTGTTGTTGTTGCTGTTGCTGTTTCTGTATCAAATTGCACAGATGATTCAAGGTAGATTGGATACAATTGAATACCGTGTTGCGCTATGTTTTCTGTAATGATTTTTTGATTTTTTTTTTTTTTTTTTGTGGAACATATGGAAGGAAGGAAAGGACGTTACTCCCATACAGAAACAAATACATAGATAAAAAGATACACGCATATATACATAGATAGAAAGGTCGGGTCGTTATTACACTCGAACCGTGTTGAACACATAATAACTGCCTACTACTGGACTTGCACACACACACACAAAAAAAAAAAAAAAAAAAAGAGGATTTTTGTTTGTGGATCATGACCATGGCAGTCGACAGTCATGACCCATCAGTTCGTTATCTTTTTTTCGAAGAGCAGCGGCAGCAGAAGCAGCAGAAGCAGCAGGTACCAGTTGACGGAACATCCTCGGGGAGCTTGCCGCTTCTGTATTCAGCGAGGCCAGCGTGCCATCCTGTGGACGATGTTCGGTCGGCTGCGGCGTTACGCCGCATCACGGAAGGTTTTCTAAATTTGGATCAGCAAATGAAAATGTGGCGTCGGCATTTACACCGGAAATTGGGCAATCTTGAAAGCCGCTTGAGTCGCTGTGAGTCTGTGCTGCTGCAGAAGAAGACGCCGGTGCCTCAGCCAGCCGTGGTGAAGGCCTCAACAACGACGTACAATGACATTTATGATGGCGTGGAAGACGAGTTCAAACGGCTCCATCTCACCGTGACGGCCCTCCGTGAGAAGGCGGCGGAGTGTTGTCGTGATGGGCAATCATTTTTTCCCCCCAAGAGACAGGGGAAAAAAGGAAAAGGGGAACCCGCAGGGAAACATGCCATGTGTGACGACGAAGACGTGTCCATCGAGGGAGGAGGGGTGTTTGATTCTCATTGTGAGCATGTCGGCGTCGCGAAAAGGATGTCACCCACCGCGGACACCACGGCAGTGGGAAGTGGGGAAAGTGTGGGACTCACACCTGACGGTGCAGAAATGCCTTCTGCTTGTTTGTTTCTCGGTGAGACCGTTGTTGATGGTGATTGGCAACACGTGGAGGGAATGCAGCCACGTGAGGCATCTTGTTGCTTATATAAATTACAAAATCAGAGTTCTTTTCAGCCTACGCCATCCTTTTCCACAATGACACCCGTCAGTGAACAGAAGTACTTCGCAATGGACAGTACATGCCGTCATGACTGGTCGCCATTTATTCATGAGCCGTGCAGGCCGGAAAAAAGAATTGTCCGTGGAGGGAAACCGGCGACAATGGATAAAACTCCAACGAATGTCCCCGATCTCCGCATGAGGTCGACAGCGACAACGACACAAGAAAAATGTTGTGAGATAAATGAATCTCCTCTTGTGCAGGCTTCTTCTCTGGAGAGAAGACTCATTTACTCCCCAGAGACACCAAAGCGGATGCAGGGACAAGTGTCACCTGTGCCTTCTGATGCTGCCAGAAGTGCATCTTCTTCTACAAAAAGAGGAATGGAAATACCCTTATCGAATGCCGATTCTGTGGAACATCTGCATAATTTGGCGGAACCCGCGTTATCCTCAAAGCCAGTGACGAATGGGCAAAAGCGGCCGGATGCGACACCGTCTTCGCAACATGGCGGTGCATTTGTTGATGCATTCGCTTCTGCTGTTGCTGGTGTACCCTCGTCTTCCCCTCTTTACGTATTACCGCAGCAAATTTATAGCAGCCGTGGTAACAGTTGTGACCGTAGCAGTGAATGGGACAATACCGAAGATGAAGAGAAGGCGAGTGAAAGTAGTAATGAGGAAGTTCTTTCCGCGGTCGCGCTGTCGATGCCTACGGTTGGCACTGTGTGGCAAAGGGTGGTCTCGTTGGCCCATGCTGAGCAGTACTACGACCAGCTGTCAAGATTGAATCATCCTCCCTTGTCCATGTTGTCCTCGGATACGCTGGAAATATCCGAATTGACAGTGCAGGAAACATAATGGGATTGCCAATGTCGACCGATATCTTTATTTTTGTTGTTGTTCTTGTTGAATTGTCATTATGACTAAATTTATTATTATTATTATTAAAAAAGGTTAATACAAGTCTTTTATTGGGGTTGTTTGATCCCACTGTTTATCGCTTGCCCAATCTCTCCATTTCCAGTGTCCTGTGGAGGGGGTTATATTTTTGGTCATAATAAAGCAGTTATATAGATTCTGGTGACGTTTGCTACGGGGGTTTTAGGGGCTATAAATGCGTGTACGCATGCATGTTTTTTTTTTTTTTATCCCTATCGGTAACGGCCATCATATAGATCATATGTGTCATTTTTTTTTTTTTTTATCGACGTGTCGGGGTGGGTGGGTGGGTGAGTCATTGATAGAGGGAGAGGAGGGGAAGTAAATGAAGGGGGAGACTGGAGTCAAGGAAGATACATCCATCATGGCTTGTTTTTTTTTTGTTTCTTTACATTTCCATCTGCTTTTTCTTTTCTTTTCTTTTTTGCCTATTTTTCTCTGTCTCTCCATATAAATGTATACATGTACATCGCACCGAGGGGAGATGAGGAGGGGAGGCTGGGGGGAGGTGACAAAAAGTAAGGATGAGTTTTATGAATGAACCTTTTGGAATGAAAGTGGGCTCTGCGGATGTCGGTATCCTACTGTGTTGCATGGTGTCTGTCTTTTGTAGGGTGAAGGTGTTTACGCAGACCCAGAGGGATGGTAACATCGCGTCTGGTTTTTTCTCGACAGATGCGGAGCGTTTCGTACAAACTTCTTACGCCTTTTTACAAACCCCCCCTACTGCACATCCTGCTGCTTCACCTGTTAATGTGATGGCAACATCATCGACAGTCATGGGGGGCACATCTCAGTTGCAAAATAATTTGGGCACGGATGGATACAACGGCAGGCCTTCTGTTCCTTTTGGTAACGAAATATTTGAATCCTCTTGTGGAGATGATACTGTGGGGACAGCCGTGGAAGTCACCGATGTGTCTGACGCCGATGACGACTATGACGAAGATCCTATAGTGAGCTTATTTTCACTGCCATTAACCCAACGTGTTATGGTGGGCGTGGGTTGGCTCTCAGTTATATCCAATTGTCTTACCGATTTATTGCGTCCCTCACAGGTTTTGTATGCATTTTTCTTCTGTATTTGTGACATGGTGCTGCACGTTATGGAAGGCCGTTTGAATCGAAGAGGAAGGGGCGGTAGTTCTGTGTCATCTAATTTACGTCTTTCGGGAGTGGCTACTGCCACGCAAAAGGGGGGCACAGCTGCAGTAGCCAATTTACGAGTTGGTGAGAAGGGTTGTTTACCTGCCACACTGTCGGACCGATGCGCCGAGGTAAGACCGGGGACTTTTCCAAAAACAAATCCACCCTTCAATACCGAACAGAAGGCATATGCTTACATGGAGAGTGAGTATGCCCCGAGTCATGATTTGAGAATTAAGAAGGCTGATTGGAAAAGGGAATCCGGCGGTGGACGGGGGAAGCTACGAGGCATTTTCAAGTATTGGCATTGCGTTATTAGTCGACGTGCTCTCTTTATAGTTGTTCTCAATACAGCCATGTTGTTTTTCTTAGTTATTTTTCATATTCACAATTTATTTTTCTGGGTGGGGACAATAAGTGGGTACCTGGCGTGTTGTGGAACGTTGTATGTTCTGGGTTGTGATGTGGGGGTTTTGTTGCAACTGCTTGGATGGTTATGTGCCCGACGCCCTTCACGGCTGTCCTCGCCACTGTCATTATATTCACCCCTCCACGTGGTGGCTACATTGCGTGCATTTGATTTATGTAGTGCTTCTTTGCCCCCTGTCGGGGTGGTGTTAAGCCAATGGTTAAGTGCACTTTATGTTACGCAACTGGTATTCTCTTTTGGCTGCTCCGCCTTGTATTTTTTCATGCTACTCGAGGAAGGAGAGGCACTGTACAGTACACATATGGAATTTATGCGTTGGTACGTGGGAACAGTAGGACTGGGATTGTTGGATATTGCGCGAATTCTTCTTTTTGGCTCCATTTTGTGGCTTAGCGGCGACCCGAAGAAAAAATTTCCGTCATTTTTGACATGATGTTGGGGGTGTAACATCTCTTTGACCACCAAAAGTGTTTGGACGCATCGTGCGTTATATTCAGTAGACATGAGGAAAGATGAGAAGAAGGTGGAGAGTAAATAAAACGCGTTTTTTTTTTTTTTTTTTTTTTTTTTTTGCTGTTGTTGTTGTTGTTGTTGTTTTGTTTTAGAGAGAAGGAGGGAAAGAAAGAAAAAAAAAAAAAGAGGTGAATTACAGTGAGATTTTTTTTTGTATTGTTTGATTTGCTTTATGTTATTTAAACATGCGCGAATGGAATTCCTTGTGGGGGGTACAACGCAGAAAGAATGAAAGAAAGAGAGATCGAGGGAAAAATAAATAAATAAATCAATGCGCATATCTTATGGAAAGTAACCCCAATATATATTTATTTATATTTATTTATATTTTTGATGTGTGACGAGAAATGAGTTGCTCGATTCCTTTTTTTTTTTTTTTTTTTTCTTCTTCTTCTCTTCGTTTAAAGCCAATTCCCCTTTCCCCTTTCCCCTCCTTCTTTTCTTTATGTTTGTATCTGTTGTGGTGTACAGTTTTATATAAATGTGAATTTTGTTCTCCGGTTTGTCTGTTGCGATGGGGGTATCGTGCCACGTTTTTTGTTTTTGTTTTTGTTTTTGTTTTTGTTTTTTTGTTGTTTCTTTTTGCGTGCCTTTTGATGGTTCATTAATAAAAGGGCCGGTGTGCACCACATCCCCGTGTCTTCCCTTTCTCTTCATGTGTATTTGCATGAATGTATGTTCTTTTGTTTCTTTTTTGAGCTTAAAATACGATGACATCTGCCGTCACGCTCTTCTACCAAACACAAACACACTTATAAACTCCACCCTTTTATTTATTTATTATTATTTTCTTTTTCTCTCTTTCTTTTTCTCTCTTTCTCTCTCTTTCTTTCTGTAGGTGTCGCGGAGGCCCTCGCAAAAAGAGGTGCGGGTCGTACGCCGACGTTTGAGAGGTGTGGGGGCGAGGAGGCGGGAGGAGGCGAGAGAAGATTTTACAGAAGCCAAAAAAAAAAAACAAAAAAATTAGAAAAGTGAGGAAAAGAAGAATTAAAACAGAAAACAAACAAAGCAGAAGGAGAAGAAAAATAAACACAAAAATTTATATAAAAAAGAAAAAAAGAAGAGAAACTCGTGTGGGAACGAGGCGAGAAGGACAAGAGAGAGAGAAAGAAGAGAGAGAAAAAAAAAAAAAAGGAGGGCGGGACAGGAAGGGGATATTATAAAGGGAGGACAGTGTTTGGGTGCGTGCGTGCGTGTGTGTGTGTGTGTGTGTGTGTGGAAGGAGGGGCAGGGCGGGGTGGGTGGGTGGGGGCTGGTGTCCCCTTCTACCAATCAGGAAGTCTCCTGCTTGTGAGTCTCGCTCTTCAGCGCAGGAAGTGCGTGGGTCTTGGGAGCCTCTGTTGGTGAGTTCCCGTCTGCCGATCCTTCATCTCACCATTCACTCACTCACACAGAAACAAACAAACAAAACAATAAAAACACATATATATATATATATATATAAACCGGCGACAGCGGTAAGGATGCCGTTAACTAACCATTTTACCGGTTCGTCGCTGCTGGAAGATGAGGCGGTGGTGCTGAAGGACTACGTCGTTGGCCAGCGTCTTGGCGAAGGCAGCTACGGTTCCGTCTACCTCGCGACATATATCCCGTCTGGCGTGCGCTTCGCACTGAAGATCCTGCAGAATGACTGCTTCATTGGCCGTGAGTCGAAGATTATACAGGAAGCAACTGTCATGCAATCTCTCGAGCATCCACATGTGGTGAAGATGTACAAATTCCTGCAGAGCACCTCGTCCTTTTACTTTGTATTGGAGTTGGCGGAGAAGGGCGAGTTGTTTGACCTTGTCATCTCCGAAAATTACTTTTTGGAGGTGAATGCCCGACGGTATTTTCAGCAACTTATCTCTGCCATTGATTATTGCCACAGTAAAGGTGTGGCTCATGGGGACCTGAAGGCAGAGAACCTTCTGCTCGGGGAGAATAACAATTTGCTTGTATGTGACTTTGGATTTTCCAGCAGACCGCAACTTGTGGGGTTTGATGACGATGATAAAAGTGATAATTCGGAGATACTGCAACCCATTGGAACGCTGCACTACACCTCCCCTGAGATGGCCCTACGGCAAAAGACTCCTGCCTCACGAGATCCCTTTCTGCAGGATTTATGGAGTGCGGGGATCATTCTGTTTTTTATGCTCACTGGCCGTTTGCCGTTTGACGGCCGTGACGATGAGGAGACATTGCATCTTATTCAAACTGGGGAATTTAGCTTTGAGGAGGAGGAGCAAAAGCGTCTCTCGGAGAGTGCCAAGTCCATTTTGGTACGGATGCTGGCACTCGAGCCAACCGATCGCCCGACGCTGCAGCAAATCATTGAGGATGAGTGGTTTGGGGAAAATTTGGATGCTGCCCTTTTTCCTCACCGCCATTCCCTGAAGCGGTCGTCGGTCTTCCTTGACTTCTCCACTCAACATCACGTGACCCCGGAGGAGGAGGCCGTATTGGAGGTCGCTTTTCGCAAAATAGACATTGATGGTTACGGAAGGATCACGAGGGATGAAGTTCGGGATATGCTTGCGACGTTGCGTGGAGAGAGGGTAGGGGCGGAGGACGTCTCGGAGCTTATCCAACTTTTCACCGGCAATGCGGGTAGTGCATTCATCACATACAAGCAGTTTCGTGACACGTGGGTGAAAAAGGATCTTGCCCACCGCCCCTTCCGGCGTCGGAATGATTTTCAGTTGTCAAAAATTATAGGCACACAGATGGATATGGTGGAACGGGAGGTGGTACGACAGCTGCGGCTGGCATTCGACAGCGTGGATGACCTTCACACCGGCGCCATCAGTGTGGATCAGTGGAAGCGACTTTTTAAACGCTGTGAGATTAAAGTGACGGAGGAGGAGATATATAGTCTTATGCGCTTCTTTGATGAACGGGATCCGTCTTCTGGAAATGAGATTACATTTGATAAATTTCTCATGGGTGTTGTTAAGCGGGAAATGCTTGTACGACACCCGATGGGACCAAAACTTGCGGCCGCCACAAATTTGGCAGCATTGCTGCAATCGCGTAAAGTTTCCGAATGCGTGAATCATGGATTTTTTGTTGTTGGATTACAAAACGCCGTTGTAGAAAAGTTAAAAAACTGTCGAGAACGCCTTATGTTCATGTACAATGATGACATTGCGTCTGATACGGAGAATGTATACTCCTTTCGATATCTTGGCTCCGCCGCGTTGCTCGCCGGTACCACAATGGAGAGTGCAGGGCCAATGTTGGCATCTTCCTCCGGCCCGCCGTCCGCGGCGCTGGGATTATGTACTTCGGGGGACTTTGCTCTGAGCTCTTCCTTGGGCCGTGGCTTTGGTCAATCCTCGGTGTCGGAGTCGTTGCTTAACAATCATAGCATCAGTCTCAACAATGGGACGTTGAAGGGTAATGAGTTGTTAAAACATACCATGAGTTCCTCCACACAGGCGGCGGTTTCACAGACGCATCGAGCTCTTGCGTTTGGTGGCACAGGTGCTGTAAATCAGGTGAATGGTGTTTGCGATGTAGATGTTATATTGGCACCAGCGAGTTTGGGTTACACACTTGTGCGCTTTCGTCGTATTTACGGCAAAACACGTGATTTTCATGAGGCGGTGGCATTTATTTCTAGCTTACTGGAGGTGGAAAGACAGCAGGCAATGGAAGATACACTACCGCGCGGAGAAAGCGAACTGCTATGAGAGTGTTCATGCAAATATATAAACAAATAAATATATATATATATTTATCAATAAAGAGAATTGCACATACACACACATGCACACATACATACATACATACATACATATATATATATTAGGTTGTATACACAGACAGAAAAAGGGAAGAACAAAATAAAAAGAGCCAAGGGAGAAAAATTAAGAGTTTGTGGGGGTGGGAGGAGGGGGGAAAGAAGTAAAAGAGCCCGCCACCTGCCACCTGCCACCCTCCGCCTTCCCAAAAGAAGCAAACAAACAAACAAACAAGAAGGATCATGCATTAATAATTTACTTTCATCAAAGAGAATGAGAAAAAGGAAAGAAAAAGAACTTATACATGTATATATAATAATAAATTGTTAGTGATGTGTATACATTTCAAAAAGTAAAAAAAAAAAAATCCCCTTCTTTTCATGACGCCTGTTCTCAGAGTAAATGAAAGGGTGTTTTTTGTTTTTTTTTATATTATGGAAGTGTGTGGGTTGAAAATGAAGGAAAAAATGATGGTTTTAGTTAAATGTTTATGATTCCATGCATGCATTGAAATAAAGAGAGAAAAAATAAATAAAAAAAAAAGGAAAGGAAATATAAAATTAATAAATAATAAATAAAGTAGTAGGCAGGAGAGGACGACGATAATTAATGAAAAGCCAAGAAAATATATATATACATAAGAACAGTAAAGGAGAGGATACATGTCTTTTGCTTATGTTTTTGTTGTTGTTGTTGTTTTCCTTTTTGTTATGCGTATTTCATTGTTTTATTTATCTGCTCCCTACCACTTATCAAATGGAATACATCATAAACAGAGGCTGAGTGGCATGAGAGAAGACAAATGAATAGTGAAATAAAAAGAGAGAGAGAGAGAGAGAGAGAGAGGAAGTCATAGTAACCTGCATCTATGAATGAAATGAGCGATGTTGGGTTAATTTATGCCAATAGTTTTTTTCTTTTTTTTTTCTTTTTTTTCTTTTTCCTTTTTATGGCACGTTATTGTTCCTTTCCGTGCCTTCACACATTGTATGAAATAAAAAGGAGGGAGGTGTAGTGTGGCGGGTGGACGTGTATACATGCATATATATAGTGTATGTACGTGTATATATCTGTTGTGTGCGTGTGTGCGTGTGTGTGTGTGTGTGTATTTGTGTGTGGATTATACCAGCGTCATATTTCTATTTTTCCGGAAATTGACACGAAGTATTACCATTCTTTTTGTTTGTTTGTTTGTTTGTTTGTTTGTTTTTCCTGCAATTAACAACCAACCAAATAATCAACAAGAAAGAAACAAAGAAAGAACAAAAGGGAGGGGGGACCGGGGTGGCTCGGGGCCGAGGGGGGTTTAGGCGGAGATGAGGGGAGGAGAGAAATGACAGAGAGAGAGAGAGAGAGAGAGTGAAAGGAGATAGCGGGGCAATGCCTCTCTTTCTCTCTCTATTTATTTATCTATCTGTGTGTGTGTGTGTGTGTGTTGTTCAATTACTCCAGTTCTCCTTGTCTCTAACTTTTTTTTTTTTTTTTTTTTTTGGTTTCGTTTTCTCTTCTTTATTTATACGCTTCCGTGCATGTGTGCACTTTCCCACATACATAACTACCTGCAATACATACCCCTACTGTCACTGTTATTACTGTTTATGTCTTGCATCTTATATCTTTTTTTCTTTTTTTTCTTCTTCTTCTTATTCCTTATTATTATTATTATTATTATTATTATTATTATTTACGCACATACAAACACACACGTACATATTTGATGGACTCTCCTGTTTGTTTGTTTGTTTGTTTGTTTGTTTATATGCATGTATGTGCCTAGTGTTTACTCCTTGACTGGGGTTTATTAGGGGAATTGTAGTAAAACTTTTATTTTATTATTAATTATTATTATTTATTATTATTTATTATTATTCATGCATCTATCAATCTGTTTATATGTATAAATGTACGCAGAGACAATGTGTGATTGTGTGTATGTGCCTTTGTCTCTCTGTCTCTCTGTCTCTCTGTCTGTCTATCTATCTGTATGTACGAAATCGATTTCCTCCCCATTTACGCACACAAACACACACACATACAGACACACAATCCGATAAATAATAATAATAATAATAAAATGTCCCCCTTTCCTGTTCTTTTTTTTTTTTTTTTTTTTCATGTATGTGTATGTGTGTGGTGTGTTTTGTGCTACTGTTGGTGCTGTTGATGTTTTGTGAATCCTTCTCAATCTCTTTCTTTCTTTCCTTCCTTTTTTTTTTTTGTGTGTGTGTCTGTTTCTCTCTCCCTCTCTCCCTCTCTCCCTCTCTCTCTGTGTGTGTGTGTGTGTCATTTCTCATGCACATATTCGCACCTCATGAGACACTCAGAGGAATTTTTTCTTTTTGTTCTTCCCTTTGCCTTTCTCTCTCTGTGCGTCTCTCTGTATGTATGCATGTATTGCAATCATGAGGAAAAAGAGAAAGAAAGAAAGAGAGAGAGAGAGAGAGTCTGTGTGCTTTTGTGTGTGTGTGTAGGGGAGAAGCACCGCGGCCTCTGGGATTGCGATAGCGGCGGTGCAGTATATTCACACACATTGGGATGGACACGATGGATAGTGCGGCGCTGCAGGAGGTGGTGGGGGCATTTAAGGAGGAGGTGAAGCGAAATCGGCTTCAGGAAAAGAGACTGCAGCGGGAAAACCGAACCTTGCTTCGTTGTTTAGTTCGATTGCAGCAGCAGAAACAAGTGGGACGACAGCCTTGTAACACGCAAGACGTGCCGCCGTTGCTAGGTCATGATGGAGTGCTGCATATCAACGGAGAGGAAGAGGAATGCTCGCAGGAGGGAGATGACATCAGCGGTAGCAGTCCCTCCTGGCCGTCGAGCACGACATCCCTCAAAGAAGATCGTCATCCTCATCATCATCAGCAACAATCACAATCACAATCACCGTGTCAGCGATGTGGTGCAGACCTCCCTGTGTCGACATCATCGCCGCGACAAGAAACGGCATTGCACACACAACCCAATGGAGGAGCCGAGGCGGGGTTTTTAGGTGATCTTTCCCCAACTCTCCGCGATGATGGCAATTTCTGTGAATTGAGCAAAGAGGCACTTCAGGTACGAGTGAGGTCACTGGAAAAGCAGCTACTTCGTGAGCGGCTACGAAGAAAGGCACAGGCGGCTGAATTTACCGCGGAGTTGGAGATCCTGCGATTTGCGTTAGATGAGGCAGAGAAGCGCGCGGCAAGGCGTCAACCGTGGCCAATGGACAATGCGGCTGAGTTTGTTCCCGATCCCCCACTGCTTTTACGTCCACACGACGGCACGAGTGATTCCAATTTGGAATACCACGAGACTCCTAGCGTTGAACTCGCCACGCACAGTCGAACATCCACCGCAGTTTCGATGGAGAATGCAGAACAGACAGCTGGAGCTGAGGGGTTGGATGTGCCACGGAATGTTGCTCTTTGTGACATGGGTGGTTGCGTGGAGGATGCTGCAGGAAAGCCCCGTAACGGGTTGTTACTTTCGGGGGTGTCGGCATGTCGGTTGAGCAGGACGGACTCAAAGAACACATCTGTCGATATGTACCGGGATTGTATGACTTCACCGAATGACGACAGGGCGATGGCAGCCATGTCGAAGCAGGAGCCTCTTCGGGATTTCTCAACGGAGTCAGACCGTCCAGACACACAGGCATCGGAAGAATTTTTGAGCCGTGCCGTTTTACGAATGGAAGGACGGCGACAGCGGCTGCGTAATGCGGTGATGCTACGCACCGTGTTGGAGGAAAATGACGATGGGAATGGCAAAAAACGTGATCCCGCTCTGGACCCGCCCAAAGGGCAGATGGATGCCCATACAACGGCGGAACCTTCACCGAATAGAGTGACAATGCCGGCTTCTTCTTCACTTCGAAAGATCTTATCGATGCGGGAGTTGCGACATTTGTCGCACCGACGTCCCACACATTTGTCTGCGTCTTCCTTCGACGATGCGGGTGCAGGTGTCAGCAAGCTCAATTCCTCGACACCGGCCGCCGCTAATACTATTTCAAATGTGAATCCGAATCAGTTGGGTGTTGGAGTGGATCCAAAAGGTCCTCACAATCGCACGTGGTATGCGCATCAAGTTCTCCGTGTGGCATTTGCGAAAGTTATTTTAGGCTCTTATCCTCCTTATTCTTCTTCTTCTGCTGCTGCTGTTACTGCTGCACCAGTAACATCCACGAGGAATTCTTTTGGAAGGATCTCGGATGGGTGTGAGGTGGACACGCTTCAAGAACGACAAGAGCATGAACCGCAGGGTTCACTCAGTGAGGCTCACTATTTGTCCTCGGATACATCAAGTTATTCTGTCACGGAAGAGGACAGGGGGTTTAACATGGAGGAAAGGTCATTTCCGAAGGCAGATGATACCCTGCAATCCCAGCAGTCACCACTGACGTCCAAAGGGTTGTATCGCAACATTTCCTCCGCTGCAGTTCGTCGTGCTATTGATGAGATGACCTCCTTGCGCTTCCGTTGCTGTCAAAATCAACCGCTGCTGGAGACGGTGGCTACACCCTTTCCATCTGTTCTTCCTTTATTCCATGAGGAGAACACGGATAGCAACCTTGTCTCAACCTTTGCTATGGATCCATCGTCTCCAAGCAAATACCGTGAGGATGAGATCCGCATCACGTTACATTCCCCTGTTCTTTTCAGTCAAATTCGTAGTTTTCTCGGAATGGAAATGAATGAGTTTCGAGAAGCGTTGGGGGAAAACGCGATGTGGCGGCAGTCGATCTCCCCCGGGAAGAGTGGAACCTCATTTATCTTTTTTGGCAATTTTGTACTGAAAAGTCTCAAAGAGAGCGAGTTTAAATTTCTCAAGAATCGATTTCTTCGTAGTTACGTTTCTTTCTGTGAGCTAAATCCGGATACGATGCTGCCTCGCTTTTACGCCCTGTTATCCTTCTCATGGTTGCGGCTTCGCTCGTGCAAGAGGTATGTACTCATGCAGAATGTTTTCTTTACCCGATACTACATTCATCGTATTTATGATGTGAAGGGTAGTACTGTGGGTCGTTCCACGAAAACCGAAACGGCACCTCGCACCTCTTATGGGGCGCTGCTTCTGAAAGATAATGATCTTCCCGCGCAACTCATCATTTGTGGTCCGCTGCAACGCGCCCATGTTCTTGCACAATTCCGCTCTGACGTTAATTTTTTGCACTCACTGAATATAGTGGATTATAGTTGTTTGATTGGTGTGCGTAGCCGTGTCTTTTCACGTAAAGAGGGTCCTTCCAAAACGATTGTGCTAAAGGAGCGTCGTGGATCCTCCTGGCAGCAGACTGTCACCTCCGAGGCAATTGGCGTTGGGGCCGAGCGGTTACACAAAATGGATAACAGTTGTATTCATGGTTGTGACGGAGGTTTGCTGTCCCTCCCTATCTATTCCGCTGGCGATGACACAACAGCGCGAGAGGATGTGTACTACCTTGGCATCATTGATGTTCTGCAGGAATACACACCAGCTAAACGATTTGAGAACTTTGCCAAGGGATTGTGGAATGACAGGCGGCATATCAGCGTTGTGCCGCCAAAAGAGTTTGCAGAACGTCTTTACAAAGTCCTGGAGAATATTACAGTGTAGCCAAATTTACGTATTTTCTTCTTTTTTTTTTTCCTTTTCTTTTTTCTTCTTCTTTGTGTGTGTCTTTTCCTTTTTATGTATGCATGCATGTGGGCTCCGGGCGAGGAAGCAATTTGCGTCATTTTTTTTTTTTTTTTTTGTCTCTTGAGGTGGAAAAATGCAGATGGACTCTGGGGAAACGAAGGGAAGGGAATAAATACACAAATATTTCTTGTTATTTCCTTCTTTGTTGTTGTTGTGTGTGTTCTGCTGGAGTCATTGGCTGCTTTTTGGTGCGGCTTCTTTATCTGCTTTTCTCTTTCTCTCTTTTTTTCCTTTTTTCCTTCTCTCTTTCTGCTTCAACTACGATTTCTCTCTCTCTCTCTCTTTTTTTTTTTTTTTTTTTCTTTGCTCGAATGTATGGGCGATGTGGACTTTTCCCTTTGTTAATTGCATGCATCTCTCTGTATTTATTTAATATATATTTCTGTTATTTGTTTTTATATACCCCTGTCAAATCCTTTTGTACATACATTGTGTGCGTGTGTGTGTGTGTGTGTGTGTGTGTAATTGCGCCTAGAGTCTGACGGTAGGTGCTGACTGTTTTTTTTTTTTTGACGTCCATTGATTCAGTCATTACATTATGTCTACATCTACAGACAGCAACTGTCAAAACCCCACCGTGCCGTTGGTAGCCTCCTTGGCACAAGTTGTGTGTGACAAGACGTCTGGGCAAAGCCATTGGTGCGATAAGGAGGGCACGCCAGAAGGTGTAGAGCAGGCGAAAGTGCATCAAAAATCTATGCGGGCCCCGCGTGTGGCATTACCACGTGAAGCCTGTCATCCCTTTTTTTATAATTATGAGGTGTCAGACTCTCTGCTGCAGTGGCTGAAAGTCTTTATTGTCGGTCTGTTGCTTCTACCCACGCGTGTATTGTATGCACTGCTGCTTCTGGCACTGGCGTCGCTTTTTGCGGTACTCACTAGCATCCTCGGGGAGGGGAGCAGTGGAGGTGAGGAACTCCAGCAGAAAAAAGAAGAAGAACAAAGAGGATGTGTACAGGCACCGAGGCGCAGTCGACGACGCTTGTCACGTGCAGTGATGCGGTGGCTTACGTTATCTCTCGGCTACTGGCGTATCCATCGTCAAAAGGTCTTTAATTACGGCCGTCACGCAGACGGCTCTTACGCGGAGGCGCCTGTCATTGTGGCGAATCACTGTACGTTGCAGGATGGTCTTTTGCTACTTGGCGAGCATAACGTGTCGCTTGTCGCGGGGCCGTCGGAAGCCGGATGGATGCGTGTAGTTGCATGGGGCGAGCACTGCATTGAGAGTCATGAAGTAAAGTCGAGGCTGATGTTTTGGAAGCAGCAGAAGCACGGTGCAACGAGGAATGACTGTCATTGGCCGCTTCTTGTGTTTCCCGAAACATGTTATACAAACTCACGGGCACTCATTCAGTTTCAGACGGACGTATTTGCCGCGGGCCTCCCGGTGCAGCCGCTCCTTGTGCAACACATGTACACACATTTTGACCCGTCCTGGTGCTGCGCGATGCTGCCACTGACGGGGATGCTGCTCCGCACCATGTGTCAAGTGTACAACACGGTGGAATTAACGTATCTTCCCGTCTACGACCCATCACCCGAGGAACAGGAAGACGCCACGCTTTACGCGGAAAATGTGCGACGTGTCATGGCGCATGCCATGAAGGTGCCTGCAACGCAACATAACAAAACGGACGTGAGGCTCATACTTCTGGCACATAGGCTGAAGTTACCCGTTGAGGCGGTTAACATGGAAGTGGGACACCCACATTTTATGGGAATGCCGTATGAGCGGATGGAGCACATGCTGTGTCGCTTTGCAGCGGCCCTGCGGTCTCGTAAGGTTAATTCTATTGGCCCTAAAATATATCTACAGTGGCGATATCGCTTTTGCGTGCCAGAGGGCTTTATGACTTCGTCGGAGCTGGGCAATTTTCTGATGCCGTTTGGAGATTATCCACTTCTCCTCGATCGCCTGTTGAATCATCTCTCCCGACATGCCGCTGTTCGAGGCATTTTTATTGCCTTTCGTGACTTCCTCTCCGCCATGTACACCGAGCCTTTCCCATTGCGAAAGGAATCGCCTGGGACTCTCCAGACCGGGAGGGAAGTCTACATGGACGAGGTGGAAGAGGAGGTGGCCGTGACGTTTGTACTGCGACGCACATTCGTGTTGTTGTTGCTGGCAGCAGACACGCTATTCACACAAAAGAAGGAGATGTCAATAGACACGAACAGGAATTGTGAGCCATCACCATCATCGTTGGTTCTTTCCTCCTCTTCCTCTTCCTCTTCCTCTACCTGCGTGGACGGTGTGGAGAAGGGACGGACGTCAACGTTCATTTACGGCCATGAGGTACGCCATCCCACTCGAAGGCCAAAAACCGATGGGTTGTACTCGATACTTACAGCGACGGCGGAGGACACGATGGACAGCGTCTTGTGTGATCGGCATTTGGACCGCGACATGTTCGACGTGTTGTGCGATATTCTTTTTATTCCTCATCGCACGACGATGTGGCGCGGTGCGACCGCCAAGTCCTCTGCCCAAATAGCAGAAGAAGATGCGCTCTTTGCATACATACGCGGCGGTGCGAACCCGGGAGTGGTGAAAACGACAGACATGTCGTTTACAGGAGAGGACAATACCAAGTCTTACATAACACTGCATGCGTTTTTGCGCTTTGGTCGCAAGCACCGTGCCACTGCGGAGTATTTTCACGCCTGCTGCGAGCACTTCCTTCTTGGCGATGACTTGGCGTAGTGTCCAGCGAAACAATAAAATAAAAAAAGAACAAAAAAGATGCGGGCCATGTGGACAGTAGCAGCAGCAACACGGGAGGATGGTGGTGGTTGATATCGTGTGGGCACACATTATATATATATATATATACTCTTTGCATTGATGTCTTTCCGCAGTGCCGTGTGGCATGGGTGTTTGGAGTACCTTTTTTTTTTTTTTTTTTGCATCCTTCGCTTCCTTCGCTCACAGTTCCGCACATTTGATGTAAAATTGAAGGGGTGCACCGGGAAGGCAAAAAAGTGAAGCGTTTTTTTTTTTTTTTTTTTTTTGCGGAGAATACGCAGGGAAACCAATAAATTGCACGAAGACCCTACGAGAGGAGAAGAAGAAAACGAAAAGGAAAAGAAATAGGTCAAACAAAGAAAGAAAGAAAAAAAAACACGAGTGAAGCGGAAGGGTGTAGTAGGGAGGGGAGAGGGGGGCAAGGACATGAAGGAGAGGAATGAGAGGGCTCGAGATCTGCGTTCCTTTGGATTTCCTGCCGCAACAATGGGATGGAGTGAGGAGGATGTGAATGCATTATCTTTGTCAAGCAGCGGCATATTCCGTGGACCGGTCTCCTCTGTGTACGACAGGCTGCAGGCGAGAGAGGCGCTTGAGCAACAGAAGCAGGCTGCCAGGGCGTCATCTGCAGAGAGTACGGAGCAAAATTGGGAAGACACAGGAGTATGGACGAAAGCAGGGTCAGAACGGCTTTCGAATCCTTCGGTTCCTCTTATTATTCTTGAGCGCATGCAGCTTGTGTTTATTTTATACGAATGGTGCCGTAAAAGAAAAAGGCGGAGCGCATCGTGCCTGAGTGACGCTAATTTACGTGAAATGGATATGATGAATGACCTGGATGCCATGATTGATTCCAGAGAGCGGGAGTTGAGTATGCGGGGAGTACTCAAGAGATCCGGTGAGTACTTGCCTGCATCGGATAATGCTGCTTCCATGGGTACTTTGATGACGGCGGGTATTCCCTTCTCGGTGTTTGAGAGATTCATTGTGGAGCCTTACTTTGATGTTCTTTTCCCACCGATCCGAACTGGAAGACGCACGGTGGACTCGTTTATGGACACTTTGGGTACGTGCGGGTGCTCGTCTACAGAGACCAGGAAAATTTCTTTCAATTTTACTGGTCGTTCACAACGACAAAAGAAGACGTCGTACCAGCGAAAGCGCGCTAGCCACGTTGAGGCAGCGGAGAATCTTTTTAGTGTGATGGACACCAATGGTGACGGCTTTCTCTCATGGGATGAGTTTAGTGGTTACATCCTGCAATGTGGTCAGCGAGACCTACTGGCTGGTGGGTATGATAGCGGGGATGGCGTGAATGAGGGTAAGCCGGGAGGTGGAAACGACGCAACGAAAACAGTTCGAAATACAACAAATATTTCTAACCGCTATATGAACTTTACACCCACCCCTTTAAATGTGAATCCCTGGCAACAACAATGCCCACTTGTGCGTCACTTGTATCACTCGGAGCCCATTAGTCGGCTTCTTTTCGCCAATCGGGGCCGGCGCTACATCACGGCGGCCTGGGACGGACTTGTGAAAGTTTGGCGGCCCAATCCACGCCTGGCAGATGCATACGGCAAGCCTTCCATTGTGCATGAACGAACTATATTTACTGCGGGAGCACCCATTGTCGATATGGTGTTGTCCCCGGCCTCCCTCGGCGATGCGGAGATCTTGGCGGTGGTAGGGATGGACGGTACCGTCACGCTACTGAGCGTTGTGACGGGCGAGGTTCTCAAAACTTTTATTGGCCGCTGCTCGCTCCCCCCAAGCGCGGGTTTAGGTTGGCAGCTTAACCCGTCAAAAAGAAGAGAACTGGAGGAGACTCATGTGAAAAACGTTGTTGATCCATCACTTCTGGAGGAGGACATCCGTGAAAACGTTGAGGGTGGTGCGGTGGTGCTAAGACCTGTATTTAAGGTGCGCGCCTACCGTCGTGAGGCGATTGAGATATTCTTCACGGAGGTCTCTCGTTACTTTATTGGGTTGGATGTAGTGGCACCGACGTACGAACATCTTGAACAGCGGCGAGCCGTTAAAACGGATGTTTTGTTGCAGTTTGGTGATGGACCTGAGACGCCAGTGGAAGAAGCACAGAAGCAGCGTTTTCCAGTCATGCCATTTGTTGAAAATGAAGTTGAGTGGGCGAAGGAGGCGACGAATAGCACAGGATGGGGAACCATTGATGAGGATGCGCAATTCGTGAAGGAGGATAATTTGGATGACAAGAATCTCGTGGAAGATAAAGAGACTTTGATGAATGAGTATCCAGCGCCACAGAAAAAGAAGCCGAAGCGGAAGCCTATAAGGGATATTCGTACCCCGGCAACATATTTAAGTTCATCCTTTTTTCACGAGTACTCTACCAAGCATATTCGTGCATGTAATAAGTGTTGGTTTGCGCGTTCTGTGGCGTTTGCACGGTATGAGCGGACAAATTCGGCCTCTGTCCTCCCTCCTGGTGTGTTTCTCCTGCTTGGCTTTGAGACGGGGTTTTTGCAGTTTTACCAGCTGCGCCCACAGTTATTCACCATCTCCAACCTTTCAATGACAAGACTGGAGGTTCCCACAACGCACAAGCCAGTTCTCATACTCAAACTTCACCGCAAAGCAATCACAAGTATTCTGACAAGTGAGGCGCATGATCTTCTAGTGACGGCAAGCGATGACGGCACCGTCGTTGTACGACAAATGAGTCGGCTTCAATTGCCATATGTCACGTTGGGTGATGGCGTGCCAGCCCCTGACAGGCCGCCACCCGTTCACCCTAATGGACATACAAAACGTATTACTTGCATATGTTGGCATGAGACACGTAATCTTATTGTAACGGGAGGAGCCGACCGGATTATTATATTTTGGACGCCGTCCTCGTCACGTCAACTGTACCGAATTGATCTCCGCATCTTTTCTACAAGCTCCGGAAGCAGTGGGACCCCGATTGATGCCTCTTTTTTTGAACCCCTACCTCACTCACCATTGTTATTAATACTTGACACCAGGCGTGTGCTGTATTTTATTGACACTGTTTCTTATCAATGTTTACATATCCTACGGGATGACGGACTTTCGTCATTGAAGGCAGGGGATATGTTGCGAGCCCGTTATGATCTTGTGGATCATCGGCTGATACTTGGAGGACGACATGTGCGCTCATGGGATATCCGTCAACGTGATGAATACCCCGAAGGCTACTGTGGACATCGGCGTCCTGTTATTGGATTGGCTTACCAGCAGGCCTGGAGTTTGTGGGTGAGTGCCGATGACTCCGTTGTTATTATTTGGAATACCAAGGTGGTGGATTTGCGTTTAGGTGAACGCAGTTCTATGGAACAGGTGAGAGAAGAAGGTGCTGAGAGTAATTCTGCAAGTCATTCGACCCTACAACTTGCGAGGAAGGGGTATCGTTGGTCTGCGCAAACTGACTTGGTGCGATCATGGTCTGTTGATGGTGGGATTTGCTGCTTTGCTGTGGATCAGTCGGAGTCATCTCATGTATTTGTCGCACTTCTGCATGAACGACATATTTTGGAGTACAACAGCTTCAATGGATCGGTGCTTCGATCATTTGACTTTCCCGCAGAAATGGGGGATATCTCCTCGTTAGCGTGTGGTGTAACAACGGGTGGTAGGGCTTTTTTGCGTCCCGTGTCTTTTCTCTGTGGAACATTTGAACGGGAGCAGTCGCCGAACGGCACCACCGCCCTTTACGCGTTGGCGTCGGGAAGTGATGTGCTTTCGGCAGTAGAGTCGACGAGTGGCGTGCACCGTTCGATTTTGACAACAGGCGTTGGCGTTTCGTGCGCCATTATCGTCGCCGCCCTCGGCCTTGTTGTGGTTTGCCACCGTGGCGGCATCAGCGTGACGCCTGTGGCCGAGGCCACCACATGCCCCATTGCCTGTTTGCGTCTCACGGACACGCCAATGAGGAGAAAACCGGACAGGAAAAAGGGTGAAAATGTCGCCGCGTCGGACCAGCCGCGAGCCCCCACCCAACACCTCAGGACGACGACAACAACGACTGTAACCCCATCAACAAGCACAACGACGAATATACATCGCGGCCAACGACGACCACTCACTTATCCCAATGTGCAGTCAGAAGAAAAGGGTCACTGTCGTCCATCACCGCCGCTTGACCTTGTCGCGCTGCTCACTGGACCCCTTTTACAAGATCCAGTGGCTCTCACACGAGAATTTATGCAGCAACGAGAACGGTATCTTTTCTACAATGGTCGGCCGAAAACGTCATTCACGGGAACATCATTGGGGTCCCGAACAGAGAGCAACGCCACTAGCACTGAGAATGAGGAAGAAGAAAGGAATAGTAGAGATGCCGAATTACCGCCGTTGTTGCTCTTTTCGGATGAGTTTATTGCCGCCTCTTCTGTCTTTACTGGAAACTTTGGTGTCTTACTTCGAGAGCAGCTTGCTGCCCTTGGATACGTTGGACAAATCGTGCCTATTAGAGAAACTGGGTATGCCGTGAGTGGTGGAGACGATGGTGTTGTACAGTTTTGGAATCTGCGCACCTTGTCGGAGGTGATGCGTTACCGTGTCACATATACTCTTGAGGCGGTAACAGCGATGGAATTTAGCGATGATGGTTTTTACCTTGCTGTGGGTGACGCAAGTGGGTATATTTTATTAATTGACATGCATCTTATTGCGTGGGATTCGGCGGTACCTCTTGAGATGGTTTCAGGCATTGAAAGTGACGTTTTTGTGTTGCGGCGATGGCGAGGGCATCGACAGAGTGCCACATCTGTACGGTTTGTGCGGCAGACGGAGGGCATGATACATCTGAGTACCGTGCACTCCCAAACAGCAAAAAAGAATGCACCCTTTCGGCGACCTCCTCGCCAGGGTCTGGAATCTGATGTTGCTGCAGCGGACGATAACAATAACATTGAAAATAAAACCGATTCCAACCAGAGCAGCAAACACGAAGCCATTTTTCTTTGCACTAGTGGTGAGGACAGCTACATCTACACATGGTGTTGGGAGGCCCGGCCGTCTATAGGGGGTTCTGTGCATTGCATCGGTTGTTTTGGCGGGGGTGTGGAGGCACCACCAAAGCCACCGGTTGATAAACTGACGGATGCGGCGTGGCAAGTGCTGGAGTTGGTGCGGAAGGTCTACATTGAGGAGCGCCTACTGTCGCCTGGTGGCGCACTCAGTGGGACAAAAATGCAGGTGGAAATTCACACCGCGGTGCTTGAACTCATGGAGGAAATGCGGGCAGTTAAATCGGGTGCCCAGCTGCCACGGCTTGGCGCAGCACCTCGGGAGCGGCAGTCGCAGTCATTTCCATCTCTTTTGAGGACACGGAATTACAGTCGCGTGCCGCACTCGGACTCTGTGCAGTTTGCTGCCGAACGCTGTCCCCCCACGTATGTTTTAGCCTTTGAAGAAGGGTTGTACTACGACCGTGGCATTGTGGAGTTGCTTGAGCGCATAGTCACGGAACTTCGGGCTGTACAGAAGAGGCGGCAGTCAGTTACAAACGTGGCTAGTCGCCATGTGAGCCTTGTGGAACCGAGGCGCTCGCGAAAGTCGCTACAAACGGCTCCGAACATATTCTTGGAGAAAAATACGGCGTCCGATGAAACACGCTCTGCCTTGACGTTTTTAAGCTTGCCAGATACAACAACTGGTGGCACTGCTACGGTTACAGCCACGTCGGTCGGCAATGCAGCAACTTATTCTATGCGTCGGAGCACGAATACCCGTGGACTCTCTTTGACGGGACCTTCACTATTTGTCTCACAGACGTCTCCGCCGGAATCATATCCGAGGAGCGATTTTGGTAACAACGGGACTGTGGGCGGGGGCGGGGGCGGTAGTAGCACGGATGGACCTCGTGCGGCGAGAAGTGGCATGGGTGGTTTCTCATTCCCTTTTTTGGCTACCTCCACCGTGGCGCAGTCCAGCATGTCACCAACCCTTACGTCCCCGGAACCCCTTGCGGTACGCTCTCTTCCATCGTTGGGTACGCCGCAACAGGATTCTCCATTGTTTCGGATGAATGAAGGGGACTGGTCTCCTTTGCCTCCTGTGACTGTAGGCTTTAAGAAGCCATCGCCGCTCCCACGCCCACGTTTTACCGGCAAGAAGGGCGCGGAAAATGGTGGAGGCTGTAGCACGACATTGAATAGCCTTCCATTGACCGCAGACATCGTTGGCACAACCAAAACGAAGGGCGACGACGCGAAACGACGATACCGCGGAGTCAAAGTTCTTTTGCGTGAGAAGGCAAGACGCCGCTCGCATAATTTATTGTTTGTGGACAATGTGAAGAAAAGACTGTCGTTACAGGAGGCAGACGATGTAACAAGTGGAAATCCGGAAGATCGCAGGGCTGCACGGCGGGAGCGGAAACGACGCTCCACAATGTGGGAAGCGGCACGCATCATGAATACACTTATGGCGTGGAAAGCGCCGCGGGAGTCAAATCGGTCACCGATAATGTCCGGAGTAGGCCCAGAAGGCGGCTTGGTTGAATGCGCCCCATTCACCGACCCTGTGAAGGCGCCGAACTTCAAGTTTCCGATGTTTATTCCACTCACGTTGGGGACCTCGCATGCAATGACGTCCAGGAGCAGTCTGCAGTTGGATTTAAGCAAGAGCATGAGCGCGATGCTGAAAACGGAGATGTTGGCGATGAATGCGACCCTGCAGGCAGCGCTGCATGAAAAGCAAGTATTAATGGCACAAGAACGTGCGGCAGCGGCTGGAAACACGACTCCAGTTCAGACACATTTTGGCACCAGGTAAACAGGCACTTGCCACCGCAATCATTTTCTCTGTTTTTACTATTCATTTAATCTTCTCACTCCCTTTTTTTTTTTCTTTTTGGCGTCAATATCCTCTTATGTTGGTGCCACAGCCGCAAAGAAGCAAACAAAAGACATATATATATATATATATATATGTATATATGTCTTTCGTTGTTCCCCATTGTGCCGTGCAGTCGCATCATCATCCACTCATCCCTTCCACACGGTTGTTTGTCTCTTTATCTATCTATCTCTGTGTGTCTGTCTGTGTGTTTTTGCTGGAGAGGTTGTATGAAAAGGCTTTCCCCCCCCGTTTTTGTGTGTTTTTATTGTTTCCAGTTTGGAAAAGAAAAAAAAAAAAAAAAATTAATAAGATAGCCAATTTTTTTGTAGTTTTCTTCTTACTGTACATGTATGTATATAATGTAATGTAATGTATGTAATGTAATGTAATGTACGTTTTTTGACAATACATCTTTTCAATAGTTGTAATTTTATTATTATTATTATTATTGTGGCTTGTTATTTACCTTTCTTCTCTCTTCTCTCTTCTCTCTCCCCAACCTCATTATTTTTCAATTTCTCTCTCTTCCCGAATATGTGACCGGTATTTGTGCACCAATAAATATGGATATGTACATCATGTATGCATGTAATTTTGGATTGCGGCTGCTTTTTTTCTTTTTTTTTTTCTTTTTTTTTTTTTTTTCTCCCACTGTTGTGGAATAGCGCTACACAACGCCGCAAGGCACACCTGCACATTCACTACGTCCAAAGGAGGAAGAAGAAGAAGAAGAAGAAGAAAGACAAAAAAAAAGAAAAGAGGGGGAATTGTATACAGACAAAATAAATAAATATACATTTGTTAATGAATCGACTGTTTGGTAAAAAAAATAAAACTCCGAAGCCCACACTGGAGGACGCCAGCGTTCGTCTTAATACACGTAGTGAGGCCGTTGATGCCAGGGTGAACAAAATTGATGCAGAGCTTATGAAATTGAAAGATGCAATTCTTAAGACAAGTGGGACAACCCAGATGCGGTATAAGCAGCGCGCCATGCAGCTGCTACAGCAGAAGCGCCTGTACCAAAACCAGCAAGATATGATGATGCAGCAACAGTTTAACATGGACCAACTCCAATTTACGACGGAGTCGGTTAAGGACACCAAAGTGCAGTTGGACGCCCTGAAGGAGGCGACGAAGGGTCTTAAGCGGGAATTTAAGCGGGTGGATTTGTCAAAGATTGATAATATGCAGGAGGAATTGCGTGATCTGTACGAAGACACACAGGAGGTTCAGGAGATCTTGGGCCGCGCCTACGATGTGCCGGAGGACATTGACGAGGACGAGATGATGGGGGAGTTGGACGCACTTGCATTTGACATGGAAAAGGAACCCGACCCGAGTTACCTTGCCGATGCCCTCGCCACACCGGGCACAAAGTTGCCGGAAATACCCGGAAAAGAGAAACCGCAGAATGAAAATGAAGAAACAGTCGACCCGTATAGTCTGGAGACACAGCTGGGTTTGTAACAGAAGGAAAAGAGAGGGAAATGCGGGTGAATACAGTTGGAAGTTTTTTTTTAATTGTTGTTGTTGTTGTTGTTTGTGTGTCTTTTTGTGATTGGGAAGAAGGGAGTGAGAAGTGACGTTTGCAATTCCCACCGATACTGCTAGCCAATGTTACATTACTGCTGCTGCTTATGGATAAGGGGTGATGATATATTCTGCTGTTATTTCTTTCTTTTTTCTTTTTTTTTTATGTGCTTCTCTCTCTCTCTCTCTTTCTCTTTCTGTGTGTGTGTGTTTGTATGTTTGCATGGCGTGGAGCATAATGTGTCTTTTTTTCATTATTTTCGTTTACTTTTCTTATGTGGCTAATGACAGACGGAGGAAGCGGGGAAGCTGTCTGCAGGGAAGGAAGGAAGTCTGCCACAGCAGAAACGTGTATACATTACCGAGAGATATATAAAACACGAAAGGGGAGGGTGACGACGATGGTGGCGAAGGAGAAGCGACGGTCGTGGTACCCCATTCTTGCCAAGCGCCGTAAAATGAAAATGGCGGCGGAAGCAACGAAAATTCCTTCACATCGAACTGACATTTGTGCCGACACGAAAAGGGCAGAGGTAGCTGAAAGGATTATGAGGAAGAGGAAAAATTCCCGTTCGTCGCCTCTTTCTGTGGCAAGAACAAAAGACGTTGATACAGCACGAACAGACGATGACGCCCACGGTACCACCACACACGAAAGGAAGACGTGTAAAGTGGCATCTTCAACACCCCCTGCGGGATTATTTCTTCACGCCACGGAGTATTGCCCGCCGTGGCCTGCGCGTTGGTATCATCTTGGCCTCCCGCTACTTGCTACACGTGTGCGGGAGTTGTTATTTGGACGCCCGCTGATGATTAGTCATCCCACTGCCGCCTTGACGGGTGTCTCTCTCTCTGACGAGGAGGCTCTTTCCTGGCTTTTCCCCGCCGTGCATAACGGGGAGTGGTTCACCACACCGTGGGAGTTTATTGATCACTGCCGATCGATCTCACATAAGTTATTGTGCGAGAATGCTCCACTCATTCCACTCGTTGCTTTCCGAATCAGGGGGAAATGCTCCCCTTTGCCTCCTGCAGATGGGAAAACGGAGAGGGCGGTGGTGGCGGTGATGGATCACTTGGGTGAAAGTGAAAAAGGGGAGGGGGAAAACGACGGGGCAGTTTCAATGTGCACAGACAACGTGCGGGATGTCTATTACTTGTGGTTTATGTACATTCACATCAGCCTAGTGAAGTTTGGTGAGCACGACTGGATCGTCTTTCTGAAATGGAAGGGAAAGGTAGTCAAGGCCACGGATCAGGAATGCGTAGGGCGAGTGTGGAGTTGTTATCGTGTGTTTCAAACCAATGTTGCGAACGCTGTGGCGAGGCAGTTGGCATCATCCTCGCAGCTTGTATGGCAGTCTTTGCCTGAAACTGCCCTAGCCATGGCGTGCACCGTCCTGGATGTCTACTTGCGTCTGTTTTTTGATACGGCACCTCTACAGGGTCTCAGGGACGGCTTAACACAAGAAGCGCCTACGCGTGCTTCATATAATCATTTGGAACATCTTGTGTGGATGAACGATGATCCCACAACGGACGCCCATGCCGCAGCTGGGATGGCGTTAGCAAAGGATGGGGCATCGTTGACCGCGCCTGAAAAGGAGGCGATTATATCTCTATCTGTGTATTTGGCAAAAATCATTATAGATATGCGTCATGCAGACGGAGATGTTTTTCCACGCGCAACTGATGATGTCAATTCAATGATTCTCGAGCCACCGCTACTTTCATCGTTGGGTGTTCCTGCGGCAGAAATTCCTTTTCCGCATTTGATTTGGCCTGTGGATGACAATGAGGAGGAGGAAAAAATTATGGCGCTTGTTCTGTGGCTGTATCTTTCTGACGCCGCGGAACATACAGACACACAAACAGACACTTACAGAGAGAGAGAGAGAGAGAGAGAGAGAACGAGCGATGCGGAGGTCTAACGGAGAGAACCACAAGGAATAAATGATGGCATGTCATTTATTTTACTGCGGGAATGTATTGCCATTTCCCGATGTGACACCCGGTATTTATTTAGATGCATACATGCATACATTTTAAGGTGCTGTGCCGTATCTGGTTTTGCTTGTCTTTTTTTTTTTTTTTTAAACTTGTTTTTTTTTTTTGTGTGTCTCATGCATATTTGACTGAGAAATTTATTTTTATTTTTGTCTTTTGTTGTATGGTATTTTGCTCCGTATGACACTTTTGAGTTTTGTTTATTTTGGTAATATACGCCCTTGGACGCACACACACACAAACAGAGAGAGAGAGAGAGAGAAGGAGGGAGAGAGAGAGACAGACTTGGTATTGGTTTGTTGTATTTGCATGCAATGGTGGGTGTTAAGAGAGTGCCGGAATGGGGAGGAATATATTTATATTTATTTGCTGAATAATGCGAATGGCGGCATCTCTTTCTCTTCATTGTTATCCCTCTCACGTTTATTTCTCCACCAACGCCAGAAACAGAAGGAAACAAGCAGCGCAAGTCGCCAAAAAGGAAAAAAAAAAAAAAACAAAGATGGTGAAGCCGCATCTTCGTCACTACTGCGTCGTGGGCCGCGAGACGCCCTCGGAGAAGAACCCCGCGCCGACAGTGTACAAGTTTGAGGTGTTTGCCCCCAACTTTGTTGTCGCCAAGAGCCGCTTCTGGCGCATGATGCGGGAGAAGAATAAGGTGAAGTCCACCCACGGTGATGTGCTCTCGTGCAAGGTCGTGAAGGACCGCAAGCTGGCCGCACGCAACTACAGTGTCGACATTGCGTACTACAGCCAGCGCTGCGGCTACACGCATATGGTGAAGGAGTTCCGCGATGTCTCCAAGGCCGGCGCGGTGAGCCAGGCGTACCACGACCTTGCCTCTCGCCACCGTGCGCGGTACCACAACATTGAGGTGCTGGGCGTGAAGAGCATTCCGAACCACCAGGTGAAGCGTCTCAGCATTTCGGAGTACCACGCCAGCAATCTCTCCTTCCCGCTCCTGCACCGCCGCGTCAAGGCACCACGGAAAGACCGCGTCGTCTTTGTCAAGAAGAACACGAAGCGCGCCGTCGTTGCGTAGACGTCTTTTCTCTTGGAAGAAGGGGGAAAGAAAAAAGGAAGAATGAAAAGGAAGGAATCTTTCTGGGGGGGCTTATCTCACACTGTTTTCTCTTGCCCTCCTTCTTTCTCTTTACTTTCTTTTCCTTTCTTTTTCTCTTTTTCAGCATCACCGCTTCTTTATTTATTTCTTGCTTTGGGTTGCGACTCAAAGGCTTGTTGAAGTACTTCGTTTCATTTTATTTTATTTTATTTTTCTTTGCGTCCTTTTTTTTTTGTTTCAGGTCGCATTTAATTTACTTTTCACAATGGCATCCCTGCATGCCGACGTTCCCCTGTGCATGTGTGTGTTGACATCCCTCACACATGTGGTTGTGGGGGCGGGGCGGGGCGGGTGGGAAGACAAGTGCCTGTTTTTTTAATTTATGATGCCGCCTTTTATTTCTTTTTTTTTTTTTTTTTTTTGGTTGTTGTTACTGCTTTTGCCGGATCTGCAAGATACAAGGAGTGGAAGGGGGCAGTGGGTTTTTTTCCTTGTGCAGGAAAAGTTTCCCCGTCTTTTTCTCTGTGTGTGTATGTAAGTATATAAATATATATATATATAAAGATAGTGCCAGTGCAACAAAGAGCGAGGAGTGAGGACAGGGGAATAAAAAGAAAGAAGGCGGGTTGTTTGCATCCCCACATCGCCAAAAAGAAAAAAAAATACTTTTTTTTCCCCACTCGCTCAGGAGAGAAAATATACCCGTACGTCGTTTATTGCGCGGTGATGTTTGTAGAAAAGGTGGGAGGGGGAGTGAAAAATTGTCATCTCATTGTATTATGCAGCGATAGCCCTATCTTTGATCTACGCACGCTGCGTACCATCATTTCTCATGCTGTTGCACTCGCATCGCCTTTGCCTCCTCCTCTTCATTCAGATGGAGCATCCGTGACGTTGTTGCCATCGACTGCGGCGGAGGACTATGACGCGGAGAGTTGTCTCTCAAATGCCGTGTTCTCGGCAATACAGACAAGCACCCGTCGGCATTCCTTTTCCAGTACGTGCAATGGCACCACTACGCCGTTGAACACTGCCACGGGCGGAAAAGGCGGTAAAGCAACAAAGGGTGCCAAGAAATCTGCAGCCGTAGCGGCATCAACGAGTCGGGTGGCCTCTCCCACAGAAGGAAAGAGCATTGGGGCAAATGGTACCGGCAGGCCGCGTGCGGAGTGGTACAGTGTTGTGGAGAGTCGTCAGTGGGGAGTTCCAGTTGTGTTTATCCACCAACTGCCAGAATTGGACCGATCTGAGGGGGAAGGTGGTGCACTGACACCGGCGGGCCAGGGAGCCGGCACCTCTGATTTCTGCACGCTGTTGCATAGGGCTTTGCAAATCATTGCCGAGGACATGAATGCCGCTGTGAGCCTTCATGAAGACGCCCCAGCGGGGTTTTTATCACTGGATGACACCAATCTGAGTGGGACGCAGCACGAGGCATTATCCGGAGAGCAGCCTCATGTGCACGCGAAGGAAATTGCTGTTGTAATGGCGTTGCAGGATCCCCGAGTATTACCAGGGTTGCTAAATTGCAGAACAGCGTTGACCCATCCTATTGATACACGTCTCATAGTGAATTTTGTTGATGGAAGACCCAATGAATTATTGGGGACGTCTAATCACGGTAGCTCAAGTACTCGTTCCCGCACAAGTGCAGCTGGTAGACGCCAAAACCCCCGTGATATTTCCCCGTCCACGCTCCGAAAAAATAGCAAAGATGCGGATGGGACCTGTGTTCCCAGTGATTTTAACAACACACTCGATGCATGGATTGAACGGCAACAACGGGAAGGCATGATAACAGTAACGACATCTCCCACAGGGGCCCCCCATGCATGTGGTGCGATTTGTCTCCGTGAGATATTTGAAGAGGGCGGGGAGGATAAACGTGTGTGGGTGCAACGCTGTGTACAAAAGGTGCTGCCAGCGATGCATCACGTTATACGCGACATTACACGGTACGGTGAGTGGGTTTCTTCCAAGACGGTGTATTCTATTCCCATCACCTTGACCACACCACGGCCAATTATGCAACCACAAACGAAAGAGGAAGAATTCCCCACCATGAGCGAGTCTGCCGTGGAATCATCAGCGATGTTGCGGTTAAGAAAATCACCAACAACGGCTCCACCATCTTCTTTTTCTCCCACGACGTCGACGAGGACGGGAGGTGTCGATGAGGACACTTTTCAGTTTTCTCCGCTAAGCGGAGATTTCTTGCCCTCTTTTTCTGCCGCAAAACGGCTTTTAGATGGCGAAGAGGAAAAGTGGTCATATTACGTTCGAGAGAGAAAAGTTCGTGGGCAATGGACTTGCATCTCTGCTGCCCGCGCCCTCGCTACGCAGGTGACCGTTTCATTGGCAAGGCAGCAACGGCCTAGGGTGGTCTGTCCTGCGCGGGATGAGGAAAACTGCCCGTTACTGGATGTAATGAATGAACGCGATGAGCCTTGTGGAGCGGACAAGACGAAAGAGAATGCTGTTGCCTCTCTGTTGTTGCAGCTCCGTCAATACGCCTCACGGCGCACGGTGTTGTCGACGTTGGATGCGGATATTCCTACTGATATGGCTGCTGGAAAAGGTAGGGAACCGAGTGTCGTTGTAGAAACTCCAGGCGGTTCGCAACTACTGGAGAATTCCACAGCTGGTGAGAAGAGTCAGAGTCAGTTCAACGCAATGGCAACGCTGCCCATGGATCACACAATGGACCGCCCAACACACCCACCGAGTCCGGAGGAGATCCGATGGGTAACGCGACAATTCATTAAAAAGGGAATTGGCGCCTTTCTCTTTCCGCCCGAAGAATCTTTGAGGGACGATGCCCCATCCATGCTTTCCCCTGATCAATTAAAATCTGCGATAAAAATGCAGGAATTACTTGAGGAGACCTTGAATGGACATACATTGAACGATGGTGAGGATGCGATGGACAGTCAATTATTACACCTTATTGAAGAGGACTTTAAACGCGCCAAGAAGGAAGTTTCATGTGAATGGTCTCACGTGTGGGATAATATTGCTTTCCCTGTGGGTCTCATGAACTTGGATGAGAAGTTAAGGTGTTCTCTTGAGCGTAGTTTGACAACACGGGAGCGAACACACATTTTACAGCAGGTTTATCTTTTGCAGCTAGCTATGCAGTCGTGCATGACAGGTACAGCTGACCCTACCAATACTGTTGTTCTGCCAAATCACGGTAATTGTAATTTATTGACGCACTCAAGCATACCGAAGGATGAGGCGGTCGGTTTTAACTTGCGGTCTGTAGAGGAATGTATGACGATGGCAGTGGCGATACGTCGTTTGTATGAGTTTCAATCTCGTTTCGGTTTCCATATTTGTCGTTTGATACGTTGTTTCATACCAGACACGTTGGAAACGTTGGGTGGGAATGTGGCCGCCATGTATTCCAGACATGCGGAGAATGTGCATCCAACGAATCGGGTGCGGGCGATGATGTTGGGAGGTGTGCCCATCCCACGCAAGCGGCAACTGCGGCAAGTGTGGTGCTACTACGTTAGTGGTATTCCATCCGTTGATGTGTTGAATGAACTCTATGAATCCCAACGGGTGACGACATCCTCCTATCCAGAGACTTCGTCTGCTGCCCCTGTTGGTATCACCACAAGGAACACGACGTCGACCTCTTTTGGGGGCGCCATTGGGGATTTACTCCGTCAAAAGCTTCTTCAGAACCTGCAGGAATCAGCGCAGTTGTTATCTTTGCCTGCAGAAAATAAATTAAGAGTGAAAAGTGTATGTTGCTCTGAAGGGGACTTGCACACAGCACTGGAGGGACGTCATATCTTGTATCCCTGTGAAAACAGTATTGTTGAGGTTGTCACAACCGATCGAAGTCGCATCTGCCGCTACGTGAAGAGCAGTGAATTGACATGTACGCTACAGTATTGCATCCCGCCATCACCACAACTAACCACGAATACTGGCGGTGCCGATCCTGCCACGGCATTCCCTTCTTCTTTGCCTTCGACGCTACGCAAACGGCCACGTGATGCAAGTGCCCACTTCACGACCACGTTTGATGACGGTGTGGTCTTCACTTGCACCCCGCAGTGGACAACACGTGCGGAACACGAGGGTCCCGGCGGTGCAGGTGAAGGGGAAAATATCGCAAACGCCAGCTCGGCCTCTTTGAAAAGTGGAGTCTCACGACGCAGTAAAGCAATGGGCAAAGCCGGTAGAAGAAGTGCGAACGTCTCCGTGGTGTTGGCAGGCGGTGGCCAACCGAGCGGAAGACGAGGCCCCCTCTTGGGGAGACAAAGACGACGTAGTCGTGAGGATGGTGAGGCGTTTGCCGCGGCGTCCGAGAGATCCGCTCGTACGGACCATTTACCCCGCATTTTTCCCGTTGCTCAGGATGGATCTGTTTGCTTGTGGACGGCGGGCCCTGAGAACATCCCGGGCAATGAAGCGGCGAATGGGAGTGTATCCGCAACGCCGAAGGCAGAGTTTGGCACGATTCCCAATTTGGCGATTACTGTGGCGGCAAATGGTGTGACGGTGCACTGCGAGGAGCAGGAAGGGATTTTGTGGTTTACGCAGCATGAGTCCAGCAATTCTCTGGCGCCGGAACTGCTACGCTGTATGCACGTGTATGATGCGAATGCGACATGGCATGAGACGATGGAGGTGGAGGTGCGTCGTGCCGTTTTGGAAGAAGTGGGAGCAGTTTGCCGCTACTTCCACTCTGGTGTCACGCAGATGATTTACCCAGATGGTGCGGTTGTCACGCGGTACCCCATGCCAACTAGCAATTTGGGTGGCGCTCAAGACTTCTGCGAGACACTCGTTACGGCAACGGGAGCCTGCTACGTGCGTCAATTCAGTGGGGGATTTTTCGCTCCGTTTCTAAATGCCAAAAGAAACAACCTGAAGATGCATGTGGCGTATGACCGTGGCAATCACTGCCGAGTTGTATCTCGAGCAGATGGCGTCATTATAGCGTTTTATTATTTTCACCG